CGAATTGTTATCGTTTGGCTGCCCAATTCTGGAGAGCTTGACCCTACACAATTGCTCCGGTGTCGAGGAATTCCATCTTGCAAGTGACTCGGTCAAGTACTTGACCATCTGGACAGGCACAATGTTGCTTAAAGGAGTTACAATTTGTGCCCCGAACATTGTCAGATTTGAATTCAATGCCCGTATTCCCCATGCGCCGGACACATTCTCTGTTGCGACAACTACTTCCAAGAGGTGGGACTCACGTGTAAGCCTCTCTTCACGTGAGGATGATCCCGATTTCGACGTCAATTCGTGGTTCCTTAAGCTGAGACGAGTGCTCAAGGCACTAAGTGGGTCTCGGATTGATCTGGCTTTGAAGATGAACGGCGGTCCTCTGAACGTGCCGTGCAGTGCTGTCGACTGCAATCATCTTCTCGGTGACCATCCACCTGTGGTGGTGGAGGACTTGACATTTAGTACTTCTAAATGCCGCACGGCATCTTGGTACTCGAGCTTTACGAATGGTTTGTTTCATGTTTGTCGACCGAGGCGCGTATGGGGTGATACGCTAGTGAGCCAGTCGGACAGGAACAACCACAGGCTCACAGAGTTCCAATTCAAAATCTTTCTTGAAAAGGAGAGCCTCAGGACAGAGCCCTACTTTTGGCGGCACAATCTGGAGCAAGTGCACGTGAAATCCATCGACGGGAAAATATGGAAGCTTGTGCAGTGGACGGACCTTTCGGAACTGCAAAACAGGACGTATGATGGGTCAATATGGCTAGAGTTGAAATGGAGAGATCAGAAGAGGGAGGCATCAGTACTGCAAACTATCTGTACACTCTTGTTTTTCTTGAACAAAATTATCTATACACTCTTGCTTTTCTTGAAATTTAAATTTCCTGTTTTCTTTCGCTCCAAGTTGAAAGCCTAGGCCAGGCCGATTTTGTATGCTTTGAGTGTTATAAAGTCGGGTCAGGAGCTGGTGAAATGTGATATCATAATATGCTGCATAACACGTACAGATGGATTTAAATTTGTCTTTCAAATGTGTTAATTTTTTGTGTTATAAATACATAATGGTGGACATTACTTTTATACTAGTATTCGATCATGTGCACATGCATAGATATTACTGTATGTTTCATATTGAATTATTGTTTATGTTTTATCACTAGTTAAAAAAAAA